TCTTGCTGAGTGCTGTCATGAAAGCTGCACGCGGGAAGCTCCCTCCCCACCTTTACACTGTAGCTCTTAGACATAAGTAGCTCCAATTTTATAAAGCTTCTGAAAGCTTTTCGGCAGTCTGTGCAAAGAAACAATCATATATCATTCACGTTGCTTCGTTGTTTTGTCAGGAATCCACCCATGCCAAAAGCATCTTTGTTGTGAAATCTTGCCTTTGACAGAGAATTCTGTTGCTGCTTTGATAAATGATGTTTTGCGTTTCTTTCTGCTCTGTTGGTTCGTATTATACTCTCAAGAGGTGGGAAGTGAAGTTCCTTGACACTTCAGCTTCTCCTTTGTACATCTTCCCACGTATTTCATGGGTATGTATTAAGAGATGCACTGGTGTGGGTGCAGGACCAGGTGGCACATCCAAACCCACACAGTCCCTCTTCCCCTTTTTTTCCAGTGATACTGAAAAGTGGGGCTTGGTTGTAGAGTGCTGAGCTCCTGGCTAAAAGGCCTCAGGGTTTTGCTGTTGTTTGGTGCAGTGTTGTGGCACAGGAACACACAGGCAAACTGCACCCGACAAGAACCCCGTGCCCAAAACAGGTTTGGGTGCAGGGGATCCTTTGAGGTCAGAGGAAGAGCACTGATGTCTGTTGGGCTGGCTCCCTCTTTTTCTTCGTTGCTTCTTTAGTACTTGTTTATCAACAATATTTTGCCAGGAAATGATGATGCTCAGCATCCTAGATTAGCAGAGATCTTAAAGAGACTTTTCCAATCGAACAAAATTGTGATGAAAAGTTGAATATCTGTAAAAACTGGAGAGAAGGGAGTCTCTCCCAGCAGCATCTGCCTTTCCCTGGGTCTTCCAGCTAAGTACTGGCAAGGACATTATTTGCAGGATGTCCTGCCCCAAGGTATAGAAGTTAGAGTGGTTGGGCTCTCCTGAACAAACCCTTTCCCTCCATCTCCTGCTTTTTTGAATCATAAGAGCTTCCATGAAGGCAGACTGATACAAGCCTCAAAGGGTTTGTGCAGCAGGGCAGGCAGGCGTGCATCAGAGGCAGAAAATACCCCTAGTCCTTGACTATTTATAGCCAGCTCACAAGCAGGCTCCTTGCCTCCAGAGCCCAAGTTACTCACTGTGACTGATGTATTCTCCTTAGATTTGCAGCACGCTGTGACCAGCTTGTTCCTACAAGTGCAGGGTGATGGCTTCAGCTGACACAGCTTGCAGATCTACTTGTGCTGGGCTTTAGCTGAGCACGGATGTGCTCTCTTGGTTGAGCTGCAGAAGGGGATCTGAGCTTGCTGGGGTGATGAAGGAAAATGAGTGCTTTGTTTTCCATTTTCTTAAGATCTCCTTGAGCTGGACTTAGGAATTATTGATTTTCAACCTTTGCACCAGAACACTATGACTGTTCAAACAGTTGCTCAGCTGAAACTATTGGATTACCTCTCGCTAAAGCATAATTTGATTTGGTTTGCTGTTTTGTCAAGGCTCTGAAGATAATAGCCTTTCATCTCCAGATAGCACGGATGAAACTGCTGTCTGGGGGGGCTGCACTGCTGCCTTCTGTGAGTTAGCTTGTTTGACACAGGGCCTATATGGCCTTCACTTGTCTTTTTCCTTCATGCCCTGCACGTATCGCCTAGATGGGTAAAGTTTGTTTGAAGGCATGCTAGTGCTGATCTGCTTGTGGTGGATCACAGCTTCTGTATTCTTTTGCACAGTTTGGGTAGCACCCTGACATTTAAGCCTCACATCTGAGGAAAAAAAACAAAACACCTGGGGAGATTCATCAGTAATTTGGAACTTTGTTAAATTCTGAAATACAAGGTGGAAAGTATTGGTGTTCTGATATGTGCTTTGCTTGTAAGGTGTGGCTGGTCCTTCTATATGGTAAGAAGAGCAGAACTTCTGAGCAGGGAGTCTGGAGGAATTCAGGTTTTGTAGCCTAATTTCAAGAGAATATACTCTGCATGCCCATGGGATGCTGCTTAAGTGTCCTGAAGAAGGGCACGGACTTAAATAAGGCAGAATGGGAAACAATAAAACTCTTCTGATGAATGGGAATGGAATAAAAGGTGCATTTTTTATCAATATCAGGCAGTAGGATGCTGGCTGTTGTGTACGTGTGTGACTGCCCTCCACTGGTTGAAATTAAGGTGGCTTTCCTTTATCAAAGCTCCTTTTTTTCCCCCCAAGGTTAGTGCGTGTCTTCAGATTGCCTTTGGAGAGAAGCAGGAGCACTTGAGGTGCAGGGCTGGGTCATCCAGAAGTGGTCACTGTGACCAATCACCCAGGATCTACGCAGTCACTCTGGGCAACAGGGAGCTTTGAGCTGGGGCAGCAGGAGCCTCGTTCAGTGTGAGGGGGTCCACAGAAGCAGAATCTTCACCGAACAGCCAGAGATTGCAGAGAGGAGCAGGTGCTTGCAGTGAGATGGCAGGAGCTTCCAGAGGTTGTAAGCAGCTTGTATTGCTGTAAGACATGACAACAAGCAATCTCATCAAGGTCTGGCAACTTGTGGGACATTCGCCTCAAAGGGAGCATCTCTTGCTATGTAAATCTTTGTTGTCTGTGGATTTTGGTTAGACATCTGATAGAGTAAGCTGAAAGGAAAATTAATCTGAAAAAATAACTTTAGATTTTAGTCAAACTCAGTAGTTGTTCTTTCCAATGGGAACAGAAGAACTGATCTCCCTGGTTGCCTTTCATTATCCAAAAGTGAGTTTCGAGAAGAATAAAGCTTTTTTTTTTTTTTAAAAAAAAAGAGAACAAAAATCCTACTGTCACCTTGAATTCAAAGGCAGAGACTGAGCTGTTGTTTTTTTGTCCTGCTGAGGCAACCAGAGGGAATCCAGTCTGGGATGCACAACTTGTGTACATCTCTGTGTGGGATACATGAAAGGGTTTGGGGAAATAACGATGTAATGGTTGAAAGGAGAGATGGGAGCAGAGGAATCCTTAAAATGTCCTTCAGTGTTGACCCAGCCCATCTAAGCTCAGAGCGTTGCTGTCATGGATTCATATCACCTCCTACAGGTATTAAGTCTTACAACACCACTGAAGCACCTTGAATTTTAATATGAAAGTGGTGTTTGTGCCTTAATTGACCATGTGCTCTCCTCTGTTAACCTCTAGGGAAATGGAGGAGACTTCCTCCAGGTCACCGAATTATAATAGTTTCTGAAGAGTTTGTTTCTTTTTTAGCTAAATGTGAGAGTTCTGTCCATTTCAGATACCTCCAGGGATGACTGCCAACTTCTCTTTGACATTTCTCTAAATCATAGAACAAAGCAGACTGGGAGGGATCTCTGGAGGCCTCTAATCCAGTGTCAAAGTGAAGCTGACTGTGAAGGTAGGTGAGGTTGCTAGAGGCTTTGTCTAGTTGAGGTTTGACCCTGGAGAGTTGGCCACCTCTCAGGCTTCTGTTCCAGTGATTTGGTTTTGCCCTGTCTACCCATTTCTTGGGAGGCTATGGCAAAAATCTTGCAGAAGATCAAGGCAGTCAATACCATCTCCTCTCACCTATCAAGCAGATTGCTTTGTTGTATGTTGCCATTGAATTGGTGAGGTACACTTTACCTATGTATGTCTGTGCTGTTCCCACTTCCCCTTTCTGGCCTGGGCTTCCAGGAAGATTCATTCCATCCGTCCTTGTCAACAGGCTTTAGCTTCCATTTAGGGGCTGGGCAAGATGAGTACAGCCATTCCAGCTGCATTGCCAACCTCTTCATTCCCACAGATATTCTCCAGAGCAAACTTTTGTTATCACAATTAATGCTTGGAAACTTACTGCAGATAACTTTGGCTTCATCTTGACTTGGCTGCTCCAAGGCTTTCATTGTCTTAGCTAATACAGTCTTTACAATTGCTTAGAGACACTTAAGTTGTTAGTGTGTTTGAATGAAGAGATTAATTTCAGGCATCCCATTGCTAAGACACTACCTTCACATTTTGACAAAGTCATGCTTTCCTTGCAAGGTGCAAAGAGGCTCTGCAAACCAGTTAAATATCAGCTAAATGGACTGTAACTCCTGGTGAGCAGTGCTGAGCTCTCCTGCATTGATTTACTGGTGCCAGGCAGTGGTCGCAATTATCTGGGCTCCATGAAGAATCAACAGAGAGGGGTCCTAGGGCACGGATACAGGGAGGTACATCAGGAGTGCCTGTCCTTTAAACACATTACTGCTTGATTTTATCGATGATTCTGCGTATTTTAACCTTTCCGTGCCTCTGTTTCCCTGCCTATAAATTACTTGTCTTCCTTTTGGGTTATTGAGGACTGCTTAGCTATAATGTAGGAAATGCTGTCAAGGTAGAGTGCCAAGTGAATACGAACTATTTTATTTTTAGTGCCTTTTGAATTCTTGGACTTTTTGTCCTTTTATCTGTCTCTCTTTAATCACATGAAATGGAAAGAAACCCAATCACAGCTGTTGCTGGAGAAGAATCATTAGGCTCATCCCGCTGGCTCTCCTGGGGCCAGTGTGGGTTGTGTGGAGTGATGAGGGGTCTTTCACTTCTGACAGCTCTCTTCATCGATCCAAGTGGGAAGGGCTATTTTTAGGTAAATGGACATCAGGCAGTGCTGAAAGAGAGCTGGGATATTTTTGGAAACCCATCAGCGACAGTTTTGGTGGGTCCTAATGCAAATTTTGTCTTTGGTTGGGCTGTCTCACTTTAGGATCACTTTCCAAGGACGTGGGGGTGATTTGTTGAGCTTGTTTTGCAGTCTGAATCGGGGGATTGATTTCAGAATCACAGAATCACACAGAATCACAGAATGGCCGGGGTTGGAAGGGACCTCAAGGATCATGAAGCTCCAACCCCCTGCTACATGCAGGGCCACCAACCTCCCCATTTCATAGCAGCCCAGGCTGCCCAGGGCCCCATCCAACCTGGCCTTGAACACCTCCAGGGATGGACGGGGCATCACAGCCTCTCTGGGCAGCTGTTCCAGCACCTCACCACTCTCATAATAAAGAACTTCCCCCTGACATCCAACCTAAATCTTCCCTCCTTCAACTTAAAGCCATTTCCCCTTGTCCTGCTGTTATTTCCCCTTTCAAAGAGTTGATTCCCCTCCTGTCTGTAGGCTCCCTTTAGGTACTGAAAGGCTGCCATGAGGTCACCCCACAGCCTTCTTTTCTCCAGGCTGAACAAGCCCAGCTCCCAGCTCAGCCTGTCTTCGTAGGAGAGGTGCTCCAGTCCCCTGATCATCTTTGTGGCTCCTCTGCACCCTCTCCATCAGCTCCCTGTCTTTTTTGTACTGGGGGCTCCAGCCCTGGACACAGCACTGCAGATGGGGCCTCACAAGAGCAGAGTAGAGAGGGACAATCACCTCCCTGTCCCTGCTGGCCACCCCTCTGCTGATGGAGCCCAGGATACCATTTGCTTTTCCCAGTAAATTTTCCCAGTATTTCTCAGTAAAACAAAGTGGTGACAAAGCTAAAGACCTTTGGGCAGAGGATGAAGCTCCATGTGTGCAGTCTGCCTGGAGTTGGGATAAACCTGTAGAGATGCCCTCATGAAGGAACGTACAGAAGGCTTGGTGCTGGTAGTGGCCATGCTGCAGGGTTGAATGCACTACCCCTTGCTTCAGTGGATTGCAGAAGGGTGGTTTTCAGTTTTCCTCAGCCTTTTTCAGAAGGGTTTTGGGACAGCTCCTGTCTCATGCTGACTTGGTGCCCAGGGCTTGCTTATGTCGTGTAGGTACAGATGGAAGCCTGGGGGGCAATGGCCAGGTCCGTGCCTTTGCTACTCAGAGAGCTGGAAAAGCCCAAGCCAAAAACACTGTGGATGTGATTTAGTAGCACGTTACCTGCCTTTTCTCAGCCTAATTTCAGAGGTCAGAACATGCTCTCACCTGAGTTTTCCAGGCCTTTCATACAGCATGTGAAGGCCATTACACAACATTAGCTTGCTGCTTGGGGAAAGCTGGTATTAGCTCTGTGTTAGGACTCTTTTCAAAGCTCTCAGTGATCGTTTACGTGATGGGCTCCTATTCAAGCTCATGGGTACAAGGTAGAAAATGGAAGCAAATAGCATCTGATACTGCTTCCTGACAGAGGTGAAAAATCGAGTGGGCTTTTTGGCAGAATTCCTGCTCTCCTGGGGTGGTTTTTTTTGTGAGCTTTTTTTTTCTTTTCTTACCTATATGGATCTCTAATGGCACTTTCCTAGCCATAGCCATGGAGTGCCTGTAGAGCAGGACTGATTTTTAATTCCCCCAAAGTTCCTGATGATCCAGGACTGGGAAGAGGAACGTGATTCTGAAGCAGGCTTAAATTGTAAAGCACATTCAGATCTGCTAAGCAACAGCATTGACACGTTTAAATAAATCTGCTGTTGAGTAATGCAGAGTGACATATTGAGAGCAATTAAAAAAAACCAAAACAGCACAAATTTGGGAAATGACTGGAATGGAAACAGAGCATAGAGGACATTGGATAAAGGAGAGGGAGGGCTACTCCACAAACAGAGTGTGATGGAGAACAAGAGTAGCCATCAGGAGGGGTGAGACAATAGTGGGAGTGTGAATTGATGCTGCAATTGTCTCTTGGCAGTAGGTCCTTGTGATTGTACTTCTCTGCCAGTGCTGATGGTCACAAGGATTGAAGAGATTTTACTGCCTAGTTCAGAAGGGAGCACGTGGTGGGACATCACACAGAGAGAGGGATTGGAAGGTGCTGTTTGTATTCCTGCAGCTTTCTTGCTGCGTGCAGAGTGGGGTCTGGCTTCTGTTGTATCCATCATTACAGAGCTGTGCAACACTGCATCAGTGACTACGCAGGTGGAATTTGGAGGTTTTGTACTTGGAGCTGGTGAGAGAAATTAACTTGTAGGGCTCAGCTGTGGAATGCCTTGCTGCGGTAAGCTGTGAAGCCCAAGTGCTTATGGTAGTTTTCATTTTTCCTTTTCTTATTTTTTAAACAGTCCAGACTTTGTACTGATAAGAATGTACGTGATTGATCGCTCCAGAAAAGCATTTTGGTGAGAAGCTCTCTTCTTCAAGGTCTCATACAGCTCTTATTTGCTGGCTATTAGGGAAAAATTGTTCTGAATCAGCTGTTCTGTGATTATAATGCATGAGTATTTGGCACCAGAGCGGCTGGAAATGGGCATTTAGGAGTAAGGGCTGACGTGAAGGGATTATTGGTTGGATGTAATGCAGCCATCTTTGTGCTTCTTTATTATTTTACTGGAGTCTGTACAGTGGTCAAATGGAGTTGTGGATTTTGTGGCTACCTTAATGACTTTGTTCCGAGCCGATGCCTCATGTCTGTCTGTGTAGCATGGTCACAGCAGGGTTAGTAGCTCTGCTGCTGAGCCCTTCCAGGCTCTCAGGAATATTTCCCAAGTCCTGACAACAGCTCCTTTTCATGGCTGGGCACCAGGTGCTTACTCTGGGCATGAACAGCTTTTGTCCCGTGAATGACAATATTTAGTTTAGGAGTCAGTCAATGTTATTGAGTATATAAAAGGGAGATAGCTATGCTGTCCTGTGCTATATTTTTAAGATCTGTTGCTGTTTGTGGCTCAAACCATGGAGGGAAGATTGAGACTGCTCACTCTGCTCTCCTGTACATAGTCACTGATGGAAGTGACCAGAAGAGAGATTGGTGGCATCCTTGTTCATCAGGACCTCTTGGCACCTATTCAGCAAGCAGGTCCTGAGGATGGCCTGAGCTGGACGTGGTCTGGTCTTTGGGATGATGGTATAGCAGGCAGTATTGAAAGCCATTGCTTTGTCTGTAGGAGTGCTTGGCTGGCACAATATCCCAGTGCCCATTTCTGAACTGCTCTGAGGATACTTGGCCCCACTCACCCAGCAAAAACAGCTGCTGTGCATTGGAGATTCCTGCCTGAGGTCTTTTTAAGCCTGGTGCTTCCCAGCCAAAGTGACTTCCACCTTTCCAAATGTACTTCCTCTGCTAGCGTTTGGATTGAGTTGGACACTAAGATGAGCAGAGGGCTGGAGCAGCTCTCCTGTGAGGAAAGGGTGAGGGAACTGGGCTTGTTTAGCTTGGAGAAGAGAAGGCTCCAGGGAGACGTCAGTGTGGCCTTCCAGTACTTGAAGGGAGCTTAGAAACAGGAGGGGGAACGGCTGTTTGTGAGGGTGGATGGTGATGGGACAAGGGGGAATGGTTTTAAACTGACACAGGAGAGGTTTAGGTTGGATGTTAGGAGGAAGTTTTTCCCCCAGAGGGTGGTGAGGCACTGGCACAGGTTGCCCAAGGAGGCTGTGGATGCCCCATCCCTGCAGGCATTCAAGGCCAGGCTGGATGTGGCTCTGGGCAGCCTGGGCTGCTGGTTGTTGACCTGCACACAGCAGGGGGTTGGAACTGGATGAGCACTGTGGGCCTTTGCAACCCAGGCCATTCTTTGATTCTGCTGGGAGCTGGCAGGTGGGACTTTGCTGGTTCAGATCAGTGGGGCAGTTCCGTAAATGCAGAGCATATCCACCAGATCCATGGCACGTGGTTTCTCTGGGATGTTTTTCCCTGGCCCACAGAAGTGCTTTAGTGATGTTAACTCTTTGAAATCCCGTCAGCTCTCAGACCAGCTCTGCACATCCTGCTGCCAGCTCCAAGAAGCTGTAGAGTCATTAACCTTGCACAGTTGTGGCAGTTTGAAGCAGCTGCCCCAGTATCACCACTCTGCAGCGGATGAACAGCTAAAGCATTTGGACACTGTATGATTAGATCAAACAAATTGTCTCAAAGCCACAAGATGTTCAGCTGGACTGCTTGTTCAATAACAGTTAATAGGGATTTCTTTGAAAAGACATTATTGCTTAGTATTGCATTCTTTAATCTTGTTACAGCGTTCTAATAAAATGGGACTTTGCCATCTAGTTCTTCCAATAACTTTTGAACCCGTCAACTGTTTTCACTCAGACTGGGGGGATACAGCTCACTGAAGCATGAACTCCCTATAAGTGCCCTGGAAATAGAAAAAAGAAGTTCTCTACAGGGTTTTGGAGAGCCCCATGAAAGCCTGGAGCCAGTAAGAACTGAGGCTCCGTTTGTGCTGCTGTTCCCAGAACTTGTTAGGGGCTGCCCTCAGACAACAGATTATATTTTTCTCCCAGTGCAGAGCTGTGCATTGTCTGTTAGAAAGTGCCAGAGCACGTTAATCATCATCCCAGCTGTTTCCCTAGCAAGCCACCAGGACACAGTTAGGTTCAGGAGTGCAGTTGGGAAGTTCTTTTGGACCAGGCTGTGTGCTTGGCAGGTTTTTGGTTTCAAAGGCAGAGGATTTAAAAACAAAAAACAAAATCTCACATGAGGAGTCATGCTTTGGTGCATTGGCCTGCAAGGCAGTGTTGAAGCTAAAAGCTCCATTAGTGGGTTTCAACTTACCCAGCTTAAATCCTTCCCCGAGGATTGCTCATGTTCTGCAGAATTACAGGGTTTGGCATGATAATGTTTTCCCCTTTATTTCTTCCTTTTGCTCTTTTTTTCTTTTTCTTTTTTTTCCCATAGTGTGAACAGTCAAAACAGCAGCAAAGCTTGAGGGCTGGTGTGGGAATCACAGCTCTGTTAGAGCAGACACGGGCAGTCCCTGGTGCAAAGCGCTCTCTCGGATTAAATATTAAGATTTTTCTCCTGAAGAGCAGTGCTGCAGTGGCACAGCTGCCCAGGGAGGTGGTGGGGTCACTATCCCTGGGGGTGTTCCAGAGCCATGGGGATGTGCCATCAAGTGAGGTGGGCATGGTGGGGTGGGCTGGGGTTGGTTGGACTTGGGGTTCTTAGAGGTCTTCTCCAACCTGAATGATTCTCTGATTCTGTTTAAGAAGGTGATTAGTGGACATGATGCTGATGGGTTGATAGTTGGACTTGGGGATCCTATTGGTGTTTTCCAGCCTTAGTGATTCTGTGATTCTAAAGAGGTGAGTGGTGCTCACAGGCTTTGGAAATGATGAATGGCAATAGAGGAACCAGGCACCACACACCTGCCTGCGTACTGCTGGCTGTTTGCTAGCCTGCTAGGGAGCAGGAGGCTGGAGGCAGGGGATGGGGGACAGGATCATATGGGTGAGCCAAATATACGTGCTGAGAGTGCTGAGCTGTGCGGGGTGTAGGAGGCACAGTGGGGAGGCAGAGCTTTGGGAGAGGGAACATCAGAGGTGCCGAAATGGGGAAGGTGGGATCCAGCCAACAGC